TGGCAAAGATGGAACAGACACTCGTACTCAGGGAATGGAAACTTTTAATAATATTATTTTAAAAATGGCAAACATGGAACTGGCACTCATATCCTGGAATGGAAAGTTTTGATAATATTATTAAAGAGGCTGGCAAGATGGAACTGACACTCATACCCAGGGAATGGAAAGTGTTAATAATATTGTTAAAAAAAAACAACTGGCAAACATGGAACTGACACCATACCCAGGGAATGGAAAGTGTTAATAATTTTATTAAAGAGGCTGGCAAAATCCCCTGGGAATGGAAACTTTTAATAATATTATTTAAAAAAATGGCAAACATGGAATGGACACCATCCCCTGGGAATGGAAATTGTTAACAATACTGTTAAAGAGGCTGGCAAACATGGAACTGGCAAACATGGAATGGAAAGTTTAATAATATTAATAATAATTATTATTAATAACATTATTAAAGAGGCTGGCAAAATGGAACTGGCAAAATCCCCTGGAAATGGAAACTTTTAATAATATTATTAAAAACTGGCAAACATGGAACTGGCACTCATACCCAGGGAACAGAAATTGTTAATAATATTATTTTTAAAACTGGCAAATATGGAACTGGCACCAGGGATTGGAAAGTGTTATTTCCCCAATTCCCAGGGAATGGAAAGTGTTAATAATATTATTTAAAAAAAATGGCAAACATGGAACTGACACCATCCCCAGGGAACGGAAAGTGTTAATAATATTATTTTTTAAAAAATGGCAAACATGGAATGGACACTCACACCCAGGGAATGGAAAGTGTTACTAATATTATTAAAGAGGCTGGCAAACATGGAACTGGCACTCATACCCTGCAACGGAAGGTTTTGATAATATTATTAAAAAAACTGGCAAACAGGGAACTGGCACAATCCCCAGGGAATGGAAATTGTTAATAGTATTATTTTAAAAACTGGCAAACATGGAACGGACTCCATCCCCTGGGAATGGAAAGTGTTAATAATATTATTTTAAAAATGGCAAACATGGAACTGGCACTCATACCCAGGGAATGGAATGTGTTAATAATATTATTTTAAAAAACTGGCAAACATGAAACTGGCACTCATATCCTGGGAATGGAAAGTGTTATTAATTTTATTTAAAAACTGGCAAACATGGAACTGTCACAATCCCAGGGAATGGGGAGGGTGTGAACAGTTTGGGTGACAATAATCCCGCTGGCACAGGGTCCTGATCCACCATCCCTGTCCTTTCCCAGGTCTGATCCGCCTGCAGGAGCTGATCAAAGCCCCTTCCAGGTACAACATCAAAATCAAGATCCGGCAGCTGCCCGCGGGGAACAAGGACGCCAGGCCCCTGCTGAAGGAGATGAAGAAAGGCAAAGAGTTTTATGTCATCTTCGACTGCTCACACGAAACAGCAGCTGAGATCCTCAAACAGGTACAGGGAGGGAGATGGAGCACAGAAACCCCAATGGCACTGCTGGCCAAACAGAGACAAAAAAAATAGATAGAAAACACACAAAAATGGGTGAAAAAAACAGAAAGAAAGACTTTACGGGGAGGGAGATGGAGCACAGCAAACCCCAATGGCACTGCTGGCCAAACAGTGACAAAAAAGAATAGATGCAAAACACACAAAAATGGGTGAAAAAAACAGAAAGAAAGAAAGACTTTACAGGGAGGGGAGACAGAGCACAGAAACCCCAATGGCACTGCTGGCCAAAGAGTGACANACACAGAGCTGATCACAGCTGCTCAGCGACATCAGGCAGGGAAGTTATTGGGGTGGTTTATTCAAATCTCAGTGTTTGGAGTTGGAAATGTTTGTGTTGTGTTCCATCAGTGCAAACACATCCTGCTGGAAACTCCTTGCTGAATATTCACATGTCGAAGCTAAGGGTAAACAGGGGAATGGAAAGTTTTGATAATATTGTTAAAGAGGCTGGCAAAATGGAACTGACATCCCCAGGGAATGGAAAGTGTTAATAATATTATTTTAAAAAATGGCAAACATGGAACTGGCACTCATCACCGGGGAATGGAAACTTTTAAAAATATTATTAAAGAGGCTGGCAAACATGGAACTGATACTCATCCCCTGGAATGGGAAGTGTTAATAATATTATTTTAAAAACTGGCAAACATGGAACTGGCACTCATACCCTGCAACGGAAGGTTTTGATAATATTATTAAAAAAACTGGCAAACATGGAACTGTCACAATCCCCTGGGAATGGAAAGCGTTAATAATATTAGTAAAAAAAATGGCAAACATAGAACTGGCACAATCCCCTGGGAATGGAAAGTGTTAATAAAACTGTTAAAGAGGCTGGCAAACATGGAACTGACATTTCCAGGAAATGGAAACTTTTAAAAATACTATTAAAAAACTGGCAAACATGGAACTGGCACTCATATCCTGGAATGGAAAGTGTTAATAATTTTATTAAAGAGGCTGGCAAAATGGAACTGGCAAAATCCCCTGGGAATGGAAACTTTTAATAATATTATTAAAAAAAACTGGCAAACATGGAACTGGCACTCATACCCAGGGAACAGAAATTGTTAATAATATTATTTTAAAAGCTGGCAAACATGAAACTGGCACCATACCCAGGGAATGGAAAGTGTTAATAACATTATTTTAAAAAATGGCAAACATGGAACTGGCACCATACCCAGGGAATGGAATGTGTTAGTAATATTATTTTAAAAAACTGGCAAACTTGGAACTGACATCCCCAGGGAATGGAAATTGTTAATAACATTATTTTAAAAACTGGCAAACATGAAACTGGCACTCATATCCTGGGAATGGAAAGTGTTAATAATTTTATTTAAAAACTGGCAAACATGGAATGGACACAATCCCCTGGGAATGGAAAGTGTTAATAACATTATTTTTAAAAATGGCAAATATGGAACTAAAACCAGCCCCAGGGAATGGGGAGGGTGTGAACAGTTTGGGTGACAATAACCCCGCTGGCACAGGGTCCTGATCCACCATCCCTGTCCTTTCCCAGGTCTGATCCGCCTGCAGGAGCTGATCAAAGCCCCTTCCAGGTACAACATCAAAATCAAGATCCGGCAGCTGCCCGCGGGGAACAAGGACGCCAGGCCCCTGCTGAAGGAGATGAAGAAAGGCAAAGAGTTTTATGTCATCTTCGACTGCTCACACGAAACAGCAGCTGAGATCCTCAAACAGGTACAGGGAGGGAGATGGAGCACAGAAACCCCAATGGCACTGCTGGCCAAACAGAGACAAAAAAAATAGATAGAAAACACACAAAAATGGGTGAAAAAAACAGAAAGAAAGACTTTACGGGGAGGGAGATGGAGCACAGCAAACCCCAATGGCACTGCTGGCCAAACAGTGACAAAAAAGAATAGATGCAAAACACACAAAAATGGGTGAAAAAAACAGAAAGAAAGAAAGACTTTACAGGGAGGGGAGACAGAGCACAGAAACCCCAATGGCACTGCTGGCCAAAGAGTGACA